CGAGCCCCAAGCCTCAGGTTAAAATCAGTGGTGTATGCTTTAGTTGCAAACTGTTGTTAAATAATATGTTGAACTAGGTAAAGATCTCAAATTTGACAAGGAACAAATTCGCTACAGCGATATATGGTTTCTTTTGGTCACCAAATGGTCGTTTTTGGCTTCTCTGGTGGGTCGCGCTGTTCAGGAAGATGAAAGAGTGGCAGGGAAGCCCGGCAGTCAGAAGACTACCGGGCTTCAAGCGCAGGACTTGGGTTGTAGCGGTCACCAGGCCCTGCCTCAAGGATACCAATCATGCAACATAACTATAATACATGGGAATGGGTCCGGTGTGTATGAGGCTGTGGCACAGTTGTGAGGTCTTGGCTTGGTGATTCCAAAATCTCCATGTGCGCCCTTCGCAGTACTCAAAAGAAGCAAACTACAAGATTGAAGTTCTAGTACGCTTTGAGGCTCAAACGTTTTCTCATTCATGCCTGGGCAATCAAAACCAACTCCCGGATTTATAAGGCTAATATTTCACTCGATTCTGTTTCAGGTGTAAATTAAATAAGAACGCTGAGGCCTTCAAAGTTTTTCCATATGGCTCCTTCCCCTGAGAACATGTCGTAGTTGGTCAGGTCCTGAATTGTGTGAGCTGGTGTTGCTGTTGCCATGCTGCCTCAAAATGAATGAGATATATATATATATTAGTACATTAATAACAGACCAGCACTATGAGGGCATCGCTCGATGAAAATGTGGATTCTGTTGAGCACAGTAGTCGCACAGGTGTATCCTAGGTGTACAGGCACCTAGTGATCAACTAGAACCGTGTTCATTTAGTTGTCCCACCCATGTACATGACCTACGCACTAGTTTTGACAGCCACGGCTGAGGTGCTGGCATAATCATCGGGAATCCAACTTTCAGCAAGGCTCGGGTGACCGATTGGGTCAAGCTCATGCTGGAATACTGCCATCCTGCCTTTCCCATCCCTCAATGCAAATATAGCTAGCGATATCCTCCAAAAACAGCTGCAGGGCAATCGTTAATATATAACTCCAAACTAACTCCAAAATATTATTGGATCAATGGCCCTTCACAAAAGTGATCGATCAGCAGGAAAACTCCAATTTTCTGCATGATTGGCAGCGAGTTCATCACCTCGAGCCTCTAAAACCCTCCCTTTTGGCGCAGTTCTAGACTCATACATATAAGCAAAAATATCAAAGCTGGACCATGATCAAATACATTCAGTTACGACTGTGATGTATATATATATATACATGTTGCGCCAAAGCCTAAAGGAGAAGCTTGGAATAAGCCCAGACTGCTAGCTAGGCTCCAAAACTCAAAGGACTATTTGCTCCAGCCCGCAAAGAGCTTCGCTGCTTGCCACCTGATGCCGGTACAACATTTATAAGCTATGGGAAATCCTGCTTCGCTTCACAGCTGGGTGTCAAGCGCCATAGAAACTGACGAGACCTTTGACCACCCCAAGGTCGTCCCACCCTCACCGTGTCGGTTCACCTGATCAACGCACTGGCTAGACTCTAGGCACATACTTCAGTCACATTCTGGCGATCAGTACAAATATTTGAGGAACAGGCCAAGAATGTAGTGTCATGTTCCTTGTTGTACTTCCGGATCGCCATTTTGTCAGGCTGGTAAATGTAGAAGCTTCTGGCATAGAACCTTGATCGCGTTTTTTTAATGTGCATATATACTTTTGGGGAAGCACAATTTTGTTGAAGATATTGCTTAGACCCCAGCACCACTCCAATCCTTGAGGCCTTGCTGTCTTCATGATCAGGTGGCTGGATGATCCATGACCTTGCACGCGCACGAGGGACACAATTAAACTATAGTTCATGGGAAGAACGTGAGTTTGGCCATAGATCAGAACTTAGGTGTTGACTTTTTCTCACCGGATCCGATTTGATCTGGAACAAAAAATTGGTCATCAGAATCTGCAATATTCTTCAACTCCGTCAGTAGGCTCCGGTCCTGCAAGTGACAATATATATTGTGTACGTACCAGTGCAGATGAGGGAAATCTGACTTGCGTGCAGTCCTGATTGCTAAGCTTTTGCTGATCTTCCTCGTTTCCCTTGCTCTTTGCTGGTTTCTTCTTTACACGTCGACCTTCCTCATTGCTCTCATAGGCCTCCTCATGTTCCTCTTGTTCTTTCTCAGGTTTTGCCCGCTGTCGTTTTCGTTCACTAGCTTGAGCACTGGATGTTTTCTGCTTGCTTCCTGTTGGAGCTTTGCCCCTGCCCCGGCCTCGCCCACGACCCCTACCTCGTCCTGCAGGTTTTTTCTGTATAGCTGGTGCCTCACTAGATTCTTCCCCTCTATTGTCAGGGTCATCATCATGACCACCCTGACCCGGATCAGCAGGATCTGCCCTGGCTGCTTTGCGTAGAACCTTTTGGGCCTAGACCAGTCGCGATCGGTTGTAGTTATGTTTTTTTTGCATATGCATATATATGTTTCATTCATTAATGTTTAAGTTCACTCCATGCGCCAGGCCTTCTGAAGCTCTGCTGATCCCCAAGAGTTCTCATTGGAGGCCAGACGCTTAGTGGCTTCAGCTGCTGCAACAGGAAGAGTCTCAGGCACTGACAAGGGTTTTGTATCCTGGATCGAGCTCGGGTGACAATTAATCCAAGGGGATCTAGCTGGTCCAAGTGCAGATGGTTAAATCTAGTTCATGCAAGTTCAAATAAACAATGTACTGTACGTAGTTGCAGTCCTTAAAGGTTCCCTTCGTTTCCTTTTTTATTGCAACCTCCTCTTCATGTTCTAGGGAATTGCCAACCTCCTGGTCCACTTCCTTAGGCTCCTCCTCCTCTCCCTCTTTGAAGAGTTCACGACGAACAGGGTCTTCTTTGACAACTTTCTGATCAGGAGTAGCAAAGCTAGACTGGTTGATGTGCCAATGTCGCTGGGGCGGCTTTGGTTTTTCAGTGGTGCAAAAGAGTGGTGTACGCTCTTGGGTCATCCCATGCGTTTCAACCCAAACATCCACTTGCTCATCATCACTTGCACCACCACCTGCCTCCTCATTACCTGCTTCCTGATCTGCTCCCGATACCTCAGCCTCAGGCTCCTCCACAGCCGCCAAATTGGTCAGGGACTTGGCCTGGGCACACGGTGCGGTGGAAGGGCTGTGAGGAACAGGCGTATGTTGCAGTAAGCTTTAAATTAAAGGTTCATTCAAATTGTATGTAATATGCCATCGACTGTTAACACATAGATCTATCAGCAAGTACTCGAATCTGTTCGAAAGACTCTTGGTACCTGGCTCTTTCAGACATGGCCTCACTGGGGTGCTCGTCAAAATACTCCTGCCAGTGGCAAACCCTATGTGCAGGTACACCTGAACATAATTGACCCTCTCCTTCAAGGCCATGCGGTAGGTATTCTTCAACACGTTCATCTCATGATGTCCAGGCCTGGCAAGGCAAGGATATATATATATACTGTCATGAAGCACTTGCCAAAAATATCCAAGAGATCTAGATATTACTGTGAGCACATTAGTGAGACTTAGAGAGAAAAACATACACCTGGTATCCTGGCAAGTTTTGGTGGATACAGTGGGGGTCATGCTGAACATCATGGACCAGTAGCCTGGCCTGGCTGATGGATTGCGTTTGGCCCTCTCAGCCACGTACGCGGCACATCCACGGTGAAGGTCAGCCTCCGTCTCCAGCCACTCCTGCAACCACTTGTTTGATTTTCCAGGTTGTGAGATGCAAGTAGGAGAGTATGACATCGACAGTGAGAAACACGGTCTCCTCCTCATCAGATTTGCCCTTGAATGTGCACAAACGAAATCGTGTACATGCCCAACGAAGTGCAGCCTCACCAAAATGGAACCAAAACTTTGTTCTCAATATTCATTCCAACTGAGTTGATCAGGTTTGAACAGACTGCATGCACCTAGTACTAGATTCTTGAAAGCAACCTGCCTGGACTTCCTTTTTCGTGGGTGGGGCAAAGGCAAATTCGGAGACAGAAACCCAGGTTAGCACGAAGTCAAAGTTGGCCACAACCTGCGCATGTGCATAGGGAGTTAAAGACTCATGACGACTGGTTCAACTACCAGCTAGCTAATTGTAATATACATTACCTTTAAGAGTGGCCTGGGCTTCATCAATGAAATTGTCGTTGATGTCAAGGAAGGAGAAGTGGAGGGGAGCCTACAGGAAAAATTAGGACAACTAAGAATCCCACACAATTATATCCAGAAATGTGCCTTCTTGTTTTTCCGGTTTCTTTCCAAAATCTGCAAGCGCTCATTGATGAAGTCAGTGGTCAGCTTGACCTCATAGAACTCCTGACCAACCAAAGTTATTGCAGGAGACCCATTTTTCTCGTTCAACTTGCTGCCGGCCTTCAGCAGCTCCACTTGCTCAGGCTTGGGCTTGCTATCGGGCATCGCGTGGAAGCTACAGCAAACACAAACCCAGCTAGCACACGTAGAAATCCTTGAAGCACTTGAACCTCATTTTGCATTAAATGTTCATGCTGCTTCACCTTGGTGCATTTCCCCGCACCTTTGGGCCAACAAATCATTGAACAATCCTGTGCAAAAAGCTCCAACTGGTTGCAACTGCCAAGAACTGTGACGACTAGATCACTAAATTGAAAAGGGTGCAGAAGGCTGGGCACCTGGACCATTCTCATTGGCCCATCCTTAACGCAAGCCAGATTAGGGAGAAGAACAACTGTGATTAGACACGTGCTAAGATTCCAGCTTTTCCTGAACGCTTTGGCCCCAGCGCGCATTGAACCCAATGGCTAGTGGGATTGGGATCGTCAAATGTCATGATCAGGCATGAAGTTGCGCCTGAGTTGCCTGAACAAAAATATATGAAGATTCCTGAATGTGCTAACAACAAGGTTTAACGATGTTGTTACTAACATCAAAGTTAAACTTTGTCGAAGACCCGGTGGGAATGTTGGAATAGTTCGAAAGAGAATGAAATGACATGGACTCAGATGGACCCTTCCTCGACCCTTGCTTCTTTCAGAAGATCCACGGTGGCATCTCGTTCCCTCCACTGGCAGATCCACCGCTGGAAGTCCACCAAGTCATGCCATGTCAGCCGCAAGTGGAGCGCGACCAACAAGAGAACCAGAAGCACCACCATGGCCCCGCCGCTGTGCATGGCAAATTCCAGGGCTTGGTGACCCGGTTTGAGAAAAAACACGAACATGACGCGACCGTTACTTGCTGCCGTTGTTGCAATTCTTGATTCTTGTCAATCAATTTTGTTCATATACCCTAGGGATCCAAGTACCTTCTCAGAAGGCACTTGGACCCTCCAAACCCACCCATTGTTGCTGCCATCTTTCTGAGTTCTCCAGTTCTGATCATGTGACTTCAGAACCTTGGGCCAGTTGAAATCGGCTCGGGAAGAGAAAACACCGAAAGTCTCTGACGTGTTCGGCCCGGGCCGAACCGCGATGCACCAAAAACCTTCTACAAAAGGCTTCAAACACCAGCTATGAATGAGGCAACTTGAGCCCCAAAACAGCAAGTGCTTCTACTCCCCGACACTTGAAACCACGTTGGATGGGGCGAGGCACACCATGTACGAGTCGGTATACTCGTAGGTGTGGTGAAACCATGCCATGTCAACATACCCAACGTTCTGTTGTTCCATGACCGAGATGGAACCAGTCAATGGCCGTGGGTGATCTGGCCAGGGATTCGAGCTGTCGATTCAATTCAGAGAATAACGAGCTTCCTTATTCGGCCCAACAGCACATATCGGGCACTAATTACCTTTGATATGTCCAAATATTAAGCAGATCTTAAGGGGACTGCCTTTGATACAAAAGATGTATATATAAGCACAGCCACCGATCTTTTTTCACGCGTTGCAGCAAGTTTGTCCA